GTTTGACATAGAAGAAACCAAATTTCTCGAGGAGAGGACGATTTCATCAATTATCAATCTTGTCTGTTTAGAATTTCATCTATATTATACCTGATTCATTTTTATTATTAAGTAATGTACGTGTCCATATATCATTAGGTTGTTTAATAGCAATTGAATTAATATGAATAATAAGACGAATAATGAGATAAACTTGTGTATGTAAAAAATTATTATAAATATGTTGAACAAATAAATCAAGTAATATATGAAATAAACGATTTGAATTGAATATTTCATAGATATTATCACCGGTATAATCATTTGAAATTGTATATATTAATTTTGCAAAGAATTTTATTAAATTAAGACGTATAGATCCTATTAAGAAAAATATATCATAGAAAATATTTAATAAAATATTAAAACAAAAAGCAAAAATCTAACCGAGAGGTTCACTAATAAATTGATATTTTATTGTTTGTGTATTATCATTGGATGATGGAATTAATGGTGCACAAGATAAAGATAATAAAGCAATTAATGATGGTAATCGAGAAGATATGACTTCTAGTAATGTTAAATAAATATGAATAAGAGGATCTTTGGCAAGATTTGTTAAAGCAGATGTATTCTCATTCGATTTAGTCACCGTTAAACTATTTTCGTCATCATTAATCTTTAAAAAACATATTTTATTTTTTGTTATCTCAATGAGCTTTGTTTTTCTTTTTACCTGCATTTGTTCATTGTTATTCGATGATGAATTATTATTTTTTAATATCAATGAAATACATATAGGCACAGACATTTGTCGACTAAGAAGATCAAGAATATTATGAAGAAACTCATATCCATTTGCTATAAGTATCGGTCGTTTTATTAATGTATCAAATAATTGTTCAAGATTCGATTTTGATAAAATACGTTGAGCAAGAACAAGTGGTGTTAATTTTCCTTCAGTGTCATCATCCATAGACTTTTTTTCATCATCACTACTAGATGATAGTTGATCGGATAATGATGATCCTAAAATTGAATATAAGTTCATAAAACGATAAGATTTTTCATAGATTAGGTGACCAGTGTTTCTCATGATTTTTGAACTCTTTCTTCCCTTTTTATAACGTAATCAGAGCAAGATTCTCGATTAGGGAAACATCTGACAGAAAGTGAAATAAAAATAAGCAGAGATGTCATTGCACAATGAATAGGATTAGGGCATGCGATGAGTTTCGTTCTCCCCCTTGAAGATAAAAGGGCTTTCAGTCGAATTTTCAACTTCTCCCATCACTAAAAGCTATTAGTACAATGTCTGCGGGATTAAAATGTGAGATACGATGTAGCTGCTGTTGCTAATCACAAGGCAATTACTTTATTCTATCTATTTTGGTGGACATTTGTTCACCATCCTTGTGCTTAATCCTCAGGAAATGCAACAAGGAAGTAGTTCATACATAACCATGAGATGTTATTGATATACGGCAGATCCCTGCAGGATAGGGTAGAGTAAGGGTGGTACAAAAAATGTTTTTGGATAGAATTAGAGTACTGTTCATATTGCTAAGATTTTTTTTTGCAAACAACTTCGAAGAAACTCCTGACATCTTTCTAGTTTAGAAGAAGTGAGTCGTTATGTTGAAGTGAAATTAAGTTTTGGTGAAGAAGAATCGATATTGTACTGGTGGGACAAATGGTCACTGAACTATCTACAACTTAGTATATTGAAAGTTGCAGCAAGCTCAGCTAGAAGTGACCATATTTTAGGAAGCAGATAAGAGAGTTTTAGAAAAGAGAAGACAGTATTGAGTAGCAACATTGTGAGTAACATTTTATTCTTACGAAACTTTTGAAATATGTGATAATTTTGTATTTGATTATCGTTGAAAATCAATAAAATATACTGAAACACAATGAAGAAAACTTTCTACTGGCATCTGTCATAACCTAGAAATCTTAGCATAGAGTTAGGATAAAGGATACGAGAAAGTCTTACCCTGCAGGACTCTGATATACGATATACGATCGTATATCAACGTCTGTCACGTGGTTTGTAGTGAAAATAGGTTACAGTTTTTTTAGGTCGTGTTTCACAAAACTTACGGAATCAGTCAGTTTTTGTTTTAAAACTCATAAATTTCGGTCAATTCTGAAACTCTGATTTTAGAATCGATGGATTCTAATAGTATCTTCGGATGGAACAATAAAAACTGGTGCAAACAATTGGCAGCACAATGGATTCTCAATAATAAAGAAAAATGTCATCTTTGAAATCACAATCAAGGAATTGATGTATCCCTACTTAAGATCTCTTTTTCGCTCTGATAATATCATATTTAATTATTTTCTTAATTAATTGCAGATATTAGAATAAGATATTTAAGAAAGAGATTAACGAAAATATTTCTTTTGATAAGTTTTCTTATATGAAGTAGTTAGAAGATTTGTCAAGATTTAAATACAAACCTTCATTATTTTCATATCTATTATGAAGAAGTCGTTCTATTGTTGATGATAATGTTGGACCAACAATATCACATTCATTGCCTGTTTGTTGATCAAAAGCTAAATGTAAAAATTCACTCAGTAAATTAGCAACATTTGTTTGAACAGAGTTCGATTCTGTTATTAAAAATTGTTTCATAAGGCCATCAATTATATTAATATCTTCATACCATTTAATTGTATCTGAACGTTGTTCACCACTACAATCTGCTATTAAACGATATAATATATCAGCTATCGATGTTGTATCAAGATGATGAAAAAAATCATTTTTAAATGTTTCTCGAGATTTTAAATAATTTATTATTTCATTTGGTTTTCGATTTATTAATGTTATAATTATACGTGAAAAAAATGAAGCAAGTATTGGATTAAGTGTATCATTATTTATTAATAAAAATGAATATAATAAATCAAGATTATTTTTTTCTAATAATTTTTCGTGTATACATTGAAAATCTCCTGATAATAATTCTGTCACCATATTTGCATTACGAAAATTATTATCTTGTGGTAATGTTATTACATGATAAATAAGTTCATTCATAACATTTTCTTGAATAAGATAATCAAGTAGACGTTTATTTTGATTTAGACATTCTTGAATTAAATCACTTTCATCAAGAAAATCTTGTAATTTTAATTCATCTTCTGGTTTATCAAATAATTTGTCAATAGATGATGTTACTATATGACATTGCCAAAACATGGTTAATTGCTTTTCTTTATTGAAATATTATTTATATATATATAAAAACTAAAGGAAATATATTGGTTCATTTTTTTTTGTCTAAATCATTATAGTTTTCTTAAGTAGCACAAGAAATAAAATAGTTATCTATATATATATATGTGCATAAACGGTAATTATTTGATACTATCTTAATGCATAAAAAATAAACTATATTATGTCGACATGATAATAACTGTTTTCTTTTAATATACTAGTCAAATTGTTATTCGATGAATTAAATCATAAAGCAAAGATTTAATTTGTCATTAGAAGTAAAGAATTTTCATTCAATGATGAATCTTACAAGTTTCAAGGATATTTACTATACCTTTCTATCACTTTATTTTTTAATACATTATATTCAATTCAATTATAATGTTGATGAAACAGAACACAACTATCTTAGTTTCCTAAATAGATTAAAGATTCACTATGAAAGATATTTAGAAATTCTCGATATTTTGAACCTTTATTTTTTGTTAAATTTTTCTAAAATTTACTCAACAAAGATAAGGCAATATTTTAAACATTGATAAATTCGTTTTGAAAATGATGAAAGGTAGAATAAAAAGAAAAAAAGATAAGAACTCACGTACAGGATTAATTAAGAGCAAAAAAAAAAATAGACGTGTTACACATTTCGGACGTCACCATTATTATAATTGATTCTAGCGATGAATTCATAAGTGGTTGCTAAAATATTTTAAAAAACGATGATTTTCAAAGATTATTTTAAATAATATCTATTTTTTTCTTCTGTATTATTTCTAAATTATTATTAAATATTAATTTTAATATAAAAATAAAGATGTCACTATTGATCAATAATCCTTTCCTCTTTTTTTTTCTAAGTTCTTTTTAATAGTTTAGTAGTTGTCATCATAAAAAATAACTCCATGTTGTTTCTGTTTTTTTTTTATTTCATTGTCGTCGTCAAGTGGTTATATTTGTTTTCAATTCTATTATATTTCATTCTCTTGTACATTTTTGTCATACATCTATATTTAATAGAAAGAAAAAGAAAAAGGTTTGTGTATTGAACAAGATCAATTAAATCATTTCCGGCTTTGTTTAAACAAGTAATATAACAACTAAATATAATGTGATTGACATAATTTTATTAATATTTTATGTGCCTGACTACCATCATCAAAGCCATTAAGAGATCATTCTTATTTTTATAGAAACAGAACAGAACAATTTAAATCAATGTAAGAGAAAAAAAAAAAAAAACTTCTATTTGTAGAAATCATAAATCTTAATTGCATCCGATATTACTAGTGTAGTTTTTTTTAAAGGCTTTTTTTCTTTTTAAAATATCAACAAAAGATTTATTGACTTTGACACATAGCATTTGAATCAACACTAGCAACGCTTTAATATAAAAGAAGTAGATGCAAATTGTAATTTTGAGAAGAGAGAGAAAAAAAAAGAAAGAGTTACCAAGCAACTCTTCGATGTAAGTGTATATATGTGCTCGGTTCACATTTTCAAATAAGTAAAAGAAGAGCGAGCGAGCGAGCGAGCGCTTTTGATAACGAAGGAGACTTAAGCAACAGTAACAGAAGAGGAAAAAATGTTTCATACTCATTAATAGATTCTGTTTTAACGACGACAATGCCATTCACATCGAATAAAAACATTTTTGAATTGTTGTCTATTATTGGTATATGAGAATTTTTTGTTTGAAGATGTTTATTGCTATACTAACTTGAAATTAAATCGAAGTTTGTTTTTTTTCTTGCTATTATTATTTTCAGATTTTAGTGATTAAGTCAACAATATGGTCGAAGAACTCGACATTGTTGATTTACGCGTCCATTTTATTGCTGATTATCTTATCAAATCATTACGTCTTCGAGCGGACAGATGGACAAAAATGGTTCAAATCGAAGAACAAAATCGAACAATAATGGATTTTTGTGAAAAACCTCAACCGACTTTACTTGTCTTTCATGTTAATCCTGCTGGAAATCTTGTAAGAAGATTTTTTATATTTTTCTTTATATATAATTCTAATATTTATGTATGTTTATATTTATAGGTAGTAGGAGCATCATTTCCATCATCACTTAAAAGTAAAGCGTGTTTTTTTGGTAAAAAATCACCAGAACCCTTACAACGTGAATCGAAAGAAAAAATTGCTGCAGCCTTAAATTTTGGTGATCTATCAAATGCTGCACTTGAACAATTACAAATTTATGTCAATGATGTATTTAATTATATTAACATAATATTTAGTTTTCTTTTTTATTTTTTTCTAATATTTTTAGGTCGTTCGACCATTATTAACGGCACCGCAAAACCATGAAGAATGGCCTGAAGTTGTTTTGACTGATTTACAAAAACATGTTTCTGATCTTCAATCCCAACTTCAAGTTGTTACAAGTCTTGTGAAAGGAAAAATTTTACTACCATATCCAAAATATAGTAGTCCAACAGGTACAAATGGTACACTCCATGCTAATGGACACACTCGAATAAATGAAACACCACAAACAAGTTCTAGAAAGTATATTATTGATTTTGTGATTATTATAATTATCTATTTTGATAAATTTTCATTTTTTTTGTTTTGTTTTAGTGGTGAAACAATCGATTTAAAATTAGTACATGCTGTAGAATCTGTTGTTATTGAATGGTCACATCAAATTCGTGAAGTATTAAAAAAAGATTCAGCACAACCATTACTTGATGGTCTTGATCCATTACCATCAACTGAAATTGAATTTTGGAAATCAAAACGTTCGCATCTAGAATCAATTTCTGAACAGGTAAAATCAATATTTCCTATCATAGAAAAAAAAAAACGTTTGATTAGTAAGTAATTTTAAAAATATTCTTTAGCTCAATGATCCACGTGTAACAAAAATGGGTGAATTACTTTCGAAAAGTAATAGTTCATATTATCCATCATTTTTACAAATACATAATGATGTTCGTCATGCACTTGATGAAGCACAAGATATTGATACACATTTACGACCATTAGCAAGTCATTTTGAATCAATAGAAACAACTGATTTTATGGAAGCTAAACATTTATTTAAACCAATGTTTCATGTAATTAGTCTATTGTATGATCATTGTCATCATTATGCTACAGCATCAAGAATAGTTGTTTTATTACAAGAAATATGTAATCTCATTATGAAACAAGCAAGTGAATATTTAGAACCAATGGAATTATTTAAAGGTGAAGTTGATGAAGCATTAATGAAAATTGATGATACATTTGAAACATTAAAAGAATTTATTGATGAATATAAATTAATTCGAGAGAAAATGGGTACAAAATGGGATTTTTCACCAAAACTTGTTTTTGCTAAATGGGATATATTTATGGAAAGAATGGATTGTCTTAAAGATTTATTTTCAACAGCAAATACTTTTAATAAACTTGAAAAAGTTGAAATTGGTGGTGTTAAAGGTAGATGAAGAAAAAAAATAAAATTGAATTTTATTTAAGATTCATTTTCTAGGTCGAGCATTATCTGGTGAAATTCTTCAAATATATGAAGAATTTAAAGCACAATTCGAAAAATTTAATAATAAAACATACAATCCACTTGATCCAAAAAATACGGTAAGAATAATATTATCAATTTGGTTATTCATTTGAAACATTATTCGATAATATAATGAAGTCAAAAAAAAAACATATTTTCTTTGTTGATCCAATTGATTTTCTGATTAAAACATACATTACTCTGATCAATATTTGATATCCCCATTGTCTCTCTCGAAAACACAGTTTGAAACTGTAGAAGAGTCTCGCTAATCTTTAAAGAACCATTACCCTTTCAAATTGTATGTTACATGTCATGCAATTGTTTCAGGAATTTCGCATATCGGAACACTAGCCATCTTTAAACTGTGATAGAAGTCATAGCAATCTCTTTCTTGCAAGAGTGCATTTTCGTTAAATTGAAATTTCGATTATTTTACTTTGTACAACTTAAAGAGATATCTATAGATTGTGTATAGAAGTTTCAATGCTTCTAGATAATTGAAAAAAAGAAATATATAACTCATAGAACAATACATAACTATAAATCAATCATGATATAAATGTCGAGTCAAAATTTGAAAGAAGACAATAAAATAAAAAAGATTAAATTACAAGATGTTGACAATAAGCAATATGAGCAAACTGTTTTTTGGATATTTTTTGTTATGGTTGGATAGAGTTCGTCAAGTTACCTTTAAAAATTTTGTTTTTGGTATATTCAGGTAATGTTTTCATAGTGAAACTTAGATTACAAGAAAAATCATAAAGGCCTATAAAAATTGAAAGACGCCGAAAGCTTCAATAGTTATCTCAAAGTCTTTTTATTTTACTCGTTGTATAGTTAGGAAACAAATCCTACATGCATCTTGAAAAATATTGTTTGATTGTTGAGAAAATCGATTTTCTTGGTATGACAACAAAAAAGCCATAAATACACATTTGTATTCTATAACTTTGACTAACAGAACTTCAATTCCAAAAAAGAAACTAATCTCATATTCTGAAAAAATCCGAAAGTCTGCGTTGAATAATACACTCAATACTCAAGATTAATTTTCGTCAAAATTCGGTCCTTATACTCCCTTACTAGAGCCCGTTGGATCCAAAATTTTCAAATGGGAATCCGATTTACAGAAAGGTTCCAGACTTCAACCCGACGGGCTCCAGTAAGAGAGTATGAGGACCGAAATTTGACGAAAATTCGTTTTGAATATACTATTCAATGCGGACTTTCGAACTGATTCTGAATACGAGATTCATTTCTTTTGGAACTGAAGTTTTGATAGCCAAAATCTCAGCATACAAATGTGTATTTATGGTGTTTTGCTGCCATATCGAAAAAATCGATTTTCTCAACAGCCATGCAGAATTTGTTTCCTAACTAAAGGACGAATAAAATAAAAAGAAACATTCGGATAAATATTGAGTCTACCAAGACTTGATGCTTTCGGCGTATTTCAATTTGTATAGGCTTTTATGATTTTTTTTTATAACCTAACTTCCACTACAAGAACATTGTCTGAATATGCCAAAAAAAAAAAACTTTGCTCAAATTTCAAATTGCTGACACCTGATATTCTATAAGCATAATTTATTTTTTTGATCATTTATTATTGAACTATACTGTATTCCATCTATGTTAATCAACAATTATTCGTTCTATTTAATAGGCATTTCTCAGTGATGTAGAAGAATTTCAAGAAGGAATTGATGATCTTGATCGACGTATTGGCCGTATTGCAAATCAAGCATTTGCTGATTGTAATGGTCTTGAAGCTATGTATAAATTAATTCATATATTTGGATCATTACTTGAACGACCTATAATTCGTCATGATTTTGAAAAAAATTATTCAATTATTCTTGAGCAAGTTGAACGCGAAATGGATGCTGCTAAAGAAATATATGATCAACAAATGGATGTACAACAAGAACAAGGTTCAATTCAACTTAATCGTAATATGCCGAAAGTAGCCGGTAGTTTAATGTGGGCTGAAGAACTTAAACCACGATATACACAACCAATGGAACAATTTCGAACATTAGATAATGAGTAAGAATATTTGTTAAGAAAAGTTTTATTTAGATTTAAAAAAACAAACAAAAATTCTTTTTTTTTTTTCTTTTTCATTAGAATAACACAAACGTTCGAAGCTAAACGTGTTGAAGGAAAATATAATGAATTAAATCAACTTGTTGATAGATTTATTGAAGAACTTTATAAAGAATGGGCTAGTAATGTAAGTGAAGCATCAAAATTTAATCTTAATCAACATTTAATTACACGAAATCCAAAAAATCAATTAATACAATTAAATTTTCATCCACAAGTATGTATTTATTGAAGGATTAAAGAAAAAAAAAAGATACATACAGATTATTTCAATACATTCTTTTATTTTTGTATTTGTATAGCTTGAAACAGTCTTACGCGAAGTTCGTTATCTTGAAATAAAAGATCGTAAAGATATTCCACCAGCTGCTTTGGATATTTACAAAGAAAATGATACATTTTTATCATATATTAATAATTTAAATTATACAATAACATCCTATAATAAAATTCGTGAAACAGTTGCTGAAGTTGAATATCCATTAATTGAACGACAACTTCAAGCAATTGATCAACAATTATCTGACGCTGAAAATAAATTGACTTGGTCAACAGCTGGTAAATTTTTTTAAGTTCTGTTTAATGTCTCGAGATTAGAGTCTACCGGATCCAGACCTGATTCAACCGTACTTTGATACTTTCAATGAAATTTTCTAATCGAAATAAGATAGCTACCCTGAACATACGAGATAATTTGTTTCCGGTTTTTTTCTTGTAGTCAATGACTAGTGTGCTCTGCACATTTCTCAGGCAAGTCATCTGAGAAACGTGTAGGGTAAAGACGGTTGAGTCCAAGATTTTCAAACCAGAGACCAACTCAACGAGTTCTACTAGAACCTTCTAGAATTGAGGTAAGGATTGATGACTCAAGAGGCTGATTGGAAAGTTTTTTTTGCTAAAATTGATCGAATTGGAGGTGGATTCAGGGTTTCTTTGGGAATCAATGAACAAAAAAACAAAAAAACACTAAAGCAAAACGAAAATTTCGCAAGATTGGTGGGTCACCTCTCGTTTGAAACACTTCTGGCAACCAGTAGGCTAATATAGAGATTCTTGATCTTGAGGTGTTGATCTCAATCGATTGACAATAGACCAAAGTTACAACCGATCTAGAGTTTCCTAATTTGTTCAGAAAACATTCTAAACTAGTTAGTTTATTGAACTGTTTTTATGCAATAAACAGAAATAGTTTCAAACGCATTCGCTCTTTTTATAAATCTTTACATAGGATGATCATAGACTACGTTTTCTCAAATAGATAAGCGCTACAAAAGTAGAATATATGATGTGATCATCATACACACAAAAAACGAGACATTCTCTGGTTTCCAAACATTAATTGTTAATTTTTTTGTTTTTCACTCAGATTTGATCAAATAACTGAATGCGTATTTGAAATAAAACTCTACACGTACGCTTAGTTTCTAATAAAAAAATTATTGCATTAGATGAAGAAGCCAAAGTCGACCGTTGTTTTGAAAGAGTAAAAAAAGCAACTTGATTGAAGAAATAACAAAATAGCGAAGAACAAATAATAAACATACTAAACCGTGCTCTCAAGATATTGCGATAGAGAAAACTAGTCAGTTTAATTGTTTCAATTTGTCCGACCGCAATAGAATCGGTTACAATCCTATAATAGATCGAGACCAAAATATTCGGTTTCGGTACATGCTGTTGAGTCATCGATCCGTATTTCTAAAGACGACTTCGCAAAAGTTTTTTCCACGATTAAGGATACTCCTCCTCCTTTCCTAGGTTTCTGGAAAATAACTCATCAGAAAAATTTGAAATTTTTTGAACAGATAGATCTTGATGAGTAGAGCCCAAGTTGACATCTCGAATACTATCTTCTATGAGATATTAAAATCACCATAACTCCTGTTTCTCTGAGATGTTATGTTTGATCGAACTGAAAATCTTTTTACAGACACTAGATACTATTTAGGATGGGTATCTTTTTATTTTTATCCTTCGAATAAACAAATCAAAACATTAAAGGTAACTTTAAAAATACATATTTTTTTTTGTAAGAGCTATCAGAAATTAGCAGAATAATATCTTTTAAAACAAAAACAAAAAATACCTATCGGAAACAGTATATAGTATGTGGGAAAAAAGTTCCAGCTCGATCGAACATACTAGACGAGAGAAATTGGGGAATTCTACATCTTTTTCCATGAAATTTGGTTTAAGAAAATCACGAAACAATGTACAATTTTTACTAATTTGATTTTTTTTAACGCTTAAATACAATTTTTGGATTCGAATATCTACTCAGTAGACAGATACTACTTCAGACTATACAATAGTCACAAAAAATGGATAGCTTACACCATTAAATATCTACCGAAATTCTCTAAGATCATAACAATAAGATCAATATAATCAAATTACTGTCGACAATTATAAAAAACTCTTTTGTAGCATCATAAAACATTTCTGTCTGTTCTTGCCTACCTACCATAAAAATTAATTTCATTCTATCTATCTCATTGAAGGTATTGGCGATTATATATTACGTACTCGTGCAATGGTACTTGATCTTGAACAACGTCTTCAAAAATCTAAAAATAATATACTTGAAATTCAATCTATAATGGCAACATGGTCAAAAAGTCCATTATATGAACGTGCAAGTGCACGTGGTACAACTGAAAAACAAACAGGTGGTGATAATCTTTTAATATTATCTGATTTGGATGAACGTCTTAATAAACGTTATCGTGAAATACGTGAAGCCGGTGAACGAATACATAAATTAGTTGAAGATAATCGACAATATTTACAAGTTAATACAAATGATTCAAATATATCAGAATATTGGAAAGCTTATGTTGAATATATTGATGAAATGATAACAGATGGATATTATGCTATTATACAATGTGATCTTGAGTTTTTTCGACAAGAAACCGATCGTAAAGCTAATCCTGAACCATTATTTCAAATTCTTCTTGAAGTTCAAGTAAATAATATAAAATTTTCTTTTAATCTTATAATTTTCTTTTATTTTTTCTTTGTTTTAGCCACCTGAAATGATATTTACTCCATCAATTGAACAAAATGCGCCCGATGGTTTTGCTGATTTTATTGATGGTCTTATTGCAAATTCATATAAACAAGCATCACTTATACCACGTTTAGCTAAACATCTTCCACATACAAATTATCAACCTGATATTCAAGAAATGAATTCACTTACAGAAATGCGTCATGAAATAAATGAACGTGTACAACATGTTATATCAAAAGCACATGAATATCAACGTTCATTTGATCGTTATGCTTATTTATGGACAGATGATCGAAAAGAATTTATGAGACAATTTTTATTATATGGTCATGTTTTAACACCTGAAGAAATTCAACAACATGCTCTTACTGGTATACCAGAAAATCCACCAACAACAGCACAATTTCGTGAACAAATTGATACATATGAAGCTATATATGATGAAGTTGAAAAAATTGATCCAATTCAAATTTATGATAAATGGTTTAGAATTGATGCTCGACCATTTAAACAAACACTTTTAAATACAGTAAAAAAATGGTCATTTATGTTTAAACAATGGCTTATTGAACATGTTACTAATAGGTAAAACAAAAAAGAAAAATATTATAAATTAATTCAAGAAAAAAAAAAACAAAATTGCTCTTTTTTTTTTTATTTCTCATTTTTAGTTTGAATGAACTTCAAGAATTTATTCAAAAAACTGATACACAATTAAAACGTTCAGTTAAAGAAGGTGATTATAATTTACTTGTTGAAATTATGGCACATTTAGCTGCTATTAAACAACGTGAACAAACAACTGATGCATTATTTACACCATTAAAAGAAACAATTGAATTATTAAAATCATATAATCAAGATTTACCTGAAGAAGTTCATCAACAACTTGAAATTTTACCTGAAAAATGGTTAAATTTAAAACGTAATTATGTTGCTGTTAGACAAAATGTTGCACCATTACAAGCACAAGAAAATGCTAAAATACGTCAACGTTTAGCTGAATTTGATACGGCACAAACACATTTTCGTGAACGATTTAAAAATGAAGCACCATATACATATGATACACCAAATGCTTATAGAAAATTAGATCGTATAAATCGTGATTTAATTAGACGAGAAAATGAATTAGAAAAATTAATGAAATCATCAGCTTTATTTGAAGTTACATTTCCTGATTTTAAACTTATTAAACAATGTCGAAAAGATGTTAAATTACTTAAACAATTATGGGATTATATTAGTTTAGTAAGATATAGTATGGATGATTGGAAATCAACACGTTGGCGTGAAATTAATGTTGAACAAAGTAAATTGTTTGATATATAATTAATATTTAATTTTAAACATTTTGAAATAGTTTCTTTGAAGATAATATTAGATAATCTTTTTCGATTAGATCATATGAAATTGTATTCAATAGTAAAGTTTTTATAGAAGTCTAACAGTCAAATTTGATATAAAAATTTTCAGACATAATAATTTTTCGTAAGTGTTTAGTAGATTGATTACAAGATTGTATCAGATCAGTTACCAAACATCTGTTTATTTCACTTAGATTTTGTTCTAAATTATAGAGACTTTGGTCAAACAATCAGATCTAATATAATTCATATCTCATTTTGTACGATCTTTTAAGAATCAGATGAGAAGAGTCAGAGTAAAAGTCTCCAGGTTCGGTATAATATATCTTATTCAGACATTTCTTTGGAAAACCAAATCTATCCATATGTTTTTTATTACCGATAACCAATAATGATGAAATTTATGATTATTTTTGTTTATTTGATACTGTGGATCGGATATCTATAATTCTAATAGAATCATATTGGAAAGTATTAAAACTCTTACGATTAGATTTGATTAAGATAATCAGAGTGTCGAATAAGATTTCGCCGATTTTTAATCATAGGATACTTTCCACTGCTGTGTTTATAAAATTATGAATGAATTAGTTCAATTTTTCCAATTGCTGGAATCTATCGCAATTAAATGACGTTTGGAATCGTACAAACTGTGTTTCTGATGTAAAACTAACTTCAATGAGATCAAAATCAGTTCTAGTACAACTACCAACTTCACAACATCTCGAAACGTACCCTACTATCAATATATCGCAGATACTCACTCAGATTCTGTTGTACTTAGTGTTCTGTACTCAAATATCTCAACTAAATAGCTAACTGACATTCAGCAGTATTTATATATATATATTTTCGAAGAAAATAGTGAGTGTAAGTTCAAGTTGAGGCTTTCTTTACCTAGCAACCAAGGACAACAAACGTTACACTTCTTTTCCAGAGTTTCTTAGCAACGAAAAAAGTTGCTGAGTGGCATTAACAACAAAAATTAGACTATTCTAGAGCAGTTCAAAGAGTTCTTCGAAATTTAAATGGTTGGAACACCTTTGTGAATGTTCCAAATAGTGCAGTTTTTGATTTTTTTCTCAGATAAAAAATTTATATTCAAGGTGTCGAGGATTATGAATAATGATATATTGATTTGCTACAGACGTCGTACACTACAAGTGTGAACTGATCAAGTTATAACTTTGGAAAATAATCAATATCAGTGTCTGTGAGCTTATCGTAATATATAATAATGTGTTGAGATCTGTTGTAGATATCATGGATATATACGACAGGTTTATTTGCTAGTTAAATCAATGTTTACAATAATAATAATATTAAATTGAGAGAAACGAAATAAAATAAATAAGACGGATAGTTTCTGTGACGATTGATTATCTTTGAAAAACAACTGTAATCTCCTAGAAATTTTTCATTTTACATTTTTTGTATTAGTATAATAAGGCTATGTGAATTTCATATTTTTGGCCCCAATGGGGTTGTGCTGACAAATTTTGTTTTGCGACATAAATAAAAATTTTTCATTTAAATTCAATAGTGGATGCTGAAATTAAAAAATTTCAACGTGATATTAAATTACTCGATAAAGAAATGCGTACATGGAATGCATATATTCAACTTGAACAAATTCTAAAAAATATGATAACTGCCCTTCGTTCAATTACTGAATTACAAAATTCGGCTATACGTGAACGACATTGGGATGAATTAATGACTTGTACTGGTGTACAATTTTCTATGTCAACACAAACAACACTTGAAGAATTACTTAATCTTAATTTATATAATTATGAAGAAGAAGTACGAAATATTGTTGATAAAGCTGTTAAAGAAATGAGTATGGAAAAAACAATAAAAGATATTGAAAATACATGGACAACAATGGAATTTGGTACAGATCCACATCCACGTACAGGAATTAAATTATTAACAGCAAGTGATGAACTTATTGAAACATTAGAAGATCATCAAGTACAATTACAAAATATGTTACAATCAAAATATATTGCATTTTTTCAAAATCAAGTATCATCATGGCAAAAAAAATTAAGTCAAGCTGATCAAGTTATACAAATTTTACGTGAAGTACAAAAAACATGGGCACATCTTGAATCAATTTTTATTGGAACAGAAGATATTCGTAAACAATTACCAGAAGATTCAAAACGTTTTGATGAAATTGATCGAGATTTTAAAAAAGTAGCAGAAGAAAATCAACAAGATTTAAATGTTATTCATTGTACTAATCGAAATAATGTTTATGAACAATTAGAAAGTGTTAAAGCACGTTTAGCTTTGTGTGAAAAAGCTCTAGCAGAATATTTAGAAACAAAACGATTAGCTTTTCCAAGGTAAATCATATGCTTTTTTTTTTCCTCATAATAAATTACATATATCATCTTTAGATTTTATTTTGTATCACCTGCTGAACTCTTAGACATTTTATCCAATGGTAACGTACCAGAAAAAGTCATGCGTCATTTAAGGTATAAAACTTTTAATATTTTTTATTTATCTAATATCACATTGTTTTGTTTTTTTTTTGTTCTTAGTAAATTATTTGATTCAATTTCTCGACTTGAATTAGCTGAAGATAAACGTACATCAGGTGTTAAATTAAAAGAAGCTATTGGAATGTATTCAAAAGAATCTGAAAAAGTTGATTTTCCAAGTTCATGTGATCTTAGTGGACAAGTTGAAACATGGCTTAATCGTTTACTTGATAAAATGCGTGAAACAGTTCGTTATTGTCTTGCTGAAGCTATTAATGCTTTTGAAGAAAAACCACGTGAACTTTGGGTTCAAGATTATCCAGCACAAATCGGTAAATAAGAAAAAGAAAAAAAAAGATTTAACAAAAAAAAAACAACAACATAATATTACTATTTTAGCTTTAACTGGTTCACAAGTTTTTTGGACAATGGAAGTTAATTTAGCATTTTCTCGTATTGAAGAAGGTTATGAAAATGGTTTAAAAGATTATTTTAAAAAAGCTGTCGGTCAATTAAATGCTCTTATTGAAATTCTATTAACAGATATATCACCATTAGAACGACAAAAAATTGAAACAATATGTACAATTGATGTACATGCTCGTGATGTTGTTGCTAAAATGATACAAGCAAAAGTAAATTTTTTTTTTCAATAAATCAAAAGGAAAAAACTTCAACTATTTCAATATGTTTATTTAGATTGAAAGTTCAAATGAATTTTTATGGCAATGTCAATTAAGACATCGATGGGATGAAAGAGAAAAAGATTGTTTTGCAAATATTTGTGATGCACAATTTCGATATGCACATGAATATTTAGGTAATCAACCACGTCTTGTCATTACACCACTTACTGACAGGTAAATTTTAAAATAAAATAAAATATAATTTTAAATTTATTTTCTATATCTATAGATGTTATATTACATTGACCCAATCACTTCATTTGATTATGGGTGGTGCACCTGCTGGACCAGGTAAAATTTCTTGTATATGATATTGCCAATGACTAAAATAATTTTTTGTCTTCTAGCTGGAACAGGAAAAACAGAAACAACAAAAGATTTAGGAAGAGCATTAGGTGTAATGGTTTATGTCTTTAATTGTTCGGAACAAATGGATTATCAATCTATTGGAAATATTTATAAAGGATTATCACAAACAGGTATATGAAAAATTTTATTTTTATCTTGGATATATAATACTTTTCTTTTATGTACAGGTGCATGGGGTTGTTTCGATGAATTTAATCGCATTTCAGTTGAAGTACTTTCTGTAAGTTTGAAATTATTTTTAAAAGATTCTTCTTTTTTTTTTTCACAAATTGAATGATATTTATGAGTAGGTAGTCGCTGTACAAGTCAAAACAATTCAAGATGCAATTCGTGATAAAAAAGCACGATTTAATTTTATGGGTGCTGATATTAATCTTAATCCTAATGTTGGTCTTTTTATCACTATGGTTCGTAATTTTACTTCTTTTTTGAATTTATTTCATTAAAAAAGTTTTTTTTTTTTTTTATCATAAATAGAATCCAGGTTATGCTGGTCGAACAGAATTACCTGAAAATTTAAAAGCATTATTTCGTCCATGTGCTATGGTTGTACCAGATATTGAAATGATTTGTGAAATTATGCTTGTTACATCGGGTTTTAAAGATGGAAAATTATTATCATGTAAATTTATAACATTATATAATTTATGTAAAGAACTTTTATCTAAACAACATCATTATGATTGGGGTTTACGAGCTGTTAAATCAGTATTAGTTGTTGCTGGTGCTTTACGTCGTGCTGATCCAAATAGACCTGAACGTGAAGTATTAATGCGAGCATTACGTGATTTTAATATTCCAAAAATTGTTCATGATGATTTACCAATTTTTATGGTATGTTGAAATTGTTTGATTAGAACAAAAGAAAAAAAAACCATCTTCAATCAACGAATTATTTTAATATTTTTTAGAAGCACGAAACTAGTTGTTTATGTTATTAGTAATTTGAGAGTTTGTTCGATTGAACATTTGATACAGAAGAATCTAATATTTAATATTTTCAATATTAAAAGATACCAATAGTGTTTCTTTTCAATAATAAAAGTCAATTAACGAATATTTTTGAATAATGATACAGGATGAAAATTTTAAAGTTGATCAGAACGCGAGAAAAAAATTTGTTCGAATTAGAACTAAAAATTATAGTTGAATGTTCTATGATTTTAATTAAACTATCTTATAAATCACATTCATCAAAGCATAATTCAGGAGAGATGACATAAATCAAAAAACGAGTACTTAAGATAGGATTAAATTCTAAAATGGCTTTCTCTAGACTAGGACCGTATCCCTAAAAACTAAAATTATTGGCACCGGAATCAGATTAAACTTACCAGAACTATGATCAAGATTAAAAAACAAACTCGATTCCGTACATCTCTAATGATGACAATATATCTACAAGATTTAAATTCTACAGTCATCCTATTTCATAGATTTGTCTCATAGCGAACTCTCTCATTTGAAGACATGGTAATAGAACTTTAGCTGAACATCTTTCATATTCTTAGGGTTTAATTGGTGATCTTTTTCCTGCACTTGATGTACCACGTAAACGTGATCTTAAATTTGAAGAAGAAGTTAAACGTGCAGCACTTGATCTTAAACTTCAACCAGAAGATGCATTTATTCTTAAAGTTGTTCAATTAAAAGAACTTTTTGAAGTTCGTCATTCAGTATTTATTGTTGGTAATGCTGGTACAGGTAAAAGTCAAATATGGAAAACACTTAATCGTATGTATATTAATCAAAAACGACGACCTATTGCTATTGATCTTGATCCAAAAGCTGTAACAAATAATGAATTATTTGGTTTTATGAATCCATCTACACGAGAATGGAAAGATGGTTTATTTTCAACTATTATGCGAGATCTTGCAAATATGACACATGATGGTAAATAAATAAAAAAACAACAAATATATTTTTTTTTGTATACTTAATTTATTTCAATGTTTATGTTTTTTTTCAGGTCCAAAATGGATTGTTCTTGATGGTGATATTGATCCCATGTGGATTGAATCATTAAATACAGTTATGGATGATAATAAAGTATTAACATTAGCTAGTAATGAACGTGTTCCACTTAATCCAACAATGCGTTTATTATTTGAAATAAGTCATTTAAGAACAGCTACACCAGCTACAGTTTCACGTGCTGGTATTCTTTATATTAATCCACAAGATCTTGGATGGGGTTAGTTAAATAAAATAATTTAATTTGTTATTTAGTTTTTCAATTATTTTTTTAATGTTTTGTTAGGTCCACAAGTTGCAACATGGATTGATTCTCGTCCAATTCAAAGTGAACGAGCAAATCTTCAAATTTTATTTGATAAATATTTACCAACATGTATGGAAATGTTAAAATCAAATCGTTTTAAAAAAATTACTCCACTTGTTGATGGTTGTCATGTATGGATGTTATGTCATTTACTTGAATGTTTACTTGTTCCAGAAAATTGTCCACCTGATTGTTCAAAAGAACTTTATGAACAATATTTTGCTTGGGCTTGTATATGGGCTATGGGTTCATCATTATTTCAAGATCAGGTAAACATTCTTCAAAGAAAAATTATTAAAAAAAATATCATTTGATATATAAATAAAAATAGTATACAGCTTATCAGTCTAATGTAAGTAATTGCTGTCGCTAAGCTTTGATTATACATGTCCTATCAAAATTCTTCTACCTATTGTTGTCTTCAATATGATTCGATATATATTTTAAGAGAATTGATCACTTGCAAATTTGTTAAAAATTACATAATAATTGTTTCTTTTTTCTTTTGTTTATAATTAGTTAACTGATCATCGTATTGAATTTTCACGTTGGTGGACATTAGAATTTAAAGCAGTAAAATTTCCAACAACAGCAAATACAACTGTATTTGATTATTATATTGATCCTGAAACGAAAAAATTTGAATTATGGAGTAAAAAAGTTCCAAAATTTGAACTTGATCAAGATATTCCATTACAAGCAACATTAGTACCAACACCTGAAACTGTTCGAATTCGATATTGGATGGGTAAGTCAAGTTAATTAATTAGTTTAGGTTTAGATTTATTTATTTAATTTAAATATTAGATCTTTTAATGGAACGAGGTTATCCAGTAATGTTAGTAGGTGGTGCGGGTAGTGGTAAGTTTAATAATCTATCTTAAAAAAAAAACTTTTATTATTATTATTATTATTATTTTCTTTTGTAGGAAAAACTGTTATTGTTAATGATAAATTAGAGTCATTAAATAATGAACTTTGGACAGTTGTTAATGTTCCATTTAATTATTATACATCATCCGAAATGCTTCAATCTATCTTAGAAAAACCACTTGAACGTAAAGCAGGTCGTAATTATGGTCCACCAGGAAATAAACGACTTATTTATTTTATTGGTAAGTCAATTAGACGGTTTACAAGAATTTCGATCCAAGGAGTTTTCAATCCGATCTTAGATTAGCTTCATTAAACCCTACAAAAAACTTCATCTTTTTTAGTTAGTTGCTACATTCAGTAGTGCTGAGCAAGATGGCATAGTACTCTCGAGAGAATTATCCCAACCGACATCCACTATTTGAGCTCATATTGCATCCATATATAGGTCTCCGTGAGAATAGCAAAAATCTGAAAGAATGCGTCCGCATTGGCCTTTGGCGCTGGGTTAAGACCAGTTTACTGAATTTTTGATCCATTTTAGGTTCTCTTCGAGTGACCGAATAACAGAAATATCTTGACGAAGGAACATTCTTTTCGGCTGAAACTTTCAGGATATTCTAAGAGTGATTAAACATCTCCATAGGCAAAATTTTTGATTAAAATTCCGTTATTTGATCTTTCGAGGAGTACTCAAAAATGGACCAAAAATCCAGTAAACTGATCATAACTCGCTGGTAAAAGCTCATGAGGCGGTTCGTTTTAGACTCTTACTAGTCTCACTGAGATCTGTCTGTAGACACAATTCGATCTCAAAAACAGCAGGTGTTAGTTGGAATAGTTCCCTCTTCAACAGGACGGTGTAATTCTCAGCACTATGGAATGTAGCAACAAATAAGATTTTTTATAGGAGTTAATGATGTCAATTTAAATCCAGGCCGAGATTTCAGTCTCCTAATGAGGCACCTAAATAACATTCTATTTGATTATTTTTTTTTTATTCTTGCTTTCAATAGATGATATGAATATGCCTGAAATGGATAAATATTATACAGTACAAGCACATACAATACTTCGTCAATATCTTGATTATAAACATTGGTATGATAGACAAAAATTAACATTACGTGATATACATAATTGTCAATATGTGGCATGTATGAATCCGACAGCAGGAAATTTTACGATTGACTCACGTGTTCAAAGACATTTTGCTGTTTTTGCTGTTTCATTTCCAGGACAAGTAAATATTTGAAATTTGTTTGTTTGTTTTTTTTTTAGAAATACTTTCTAATTTTGTTTGAAGGATTCATTACGAACAATATATAATAGTATATTATCACAACATTTAGCTGCACCACATCATGCTCCATTTACACAAGCTGTACAACGTTATTCTTCACAATTAGTTGATGGTGCACTTGCTGTACATCAACGTGTTGCTTCAACTTTTCTACCAACAGCTATTAAATTTCATTATATATTTAATTTAAGGGATCTTTCAAATATTTTTCAAGTAAAATTTCTAAGTTTTCTTTTTCTTTATTTTATAGATTTCGGTCTATAGAAAATGTAGTTTATATTAGTATAACTACAAACAATCGCGAGTTTTTTGAAGTTAGCCAAGAAAACCTAAATCTTGATTTTAATAATTCTAACGTGACAAGATTACACTGTAAAATTGATCATTCATTTCTCCGTATATTTTATATATTTGCCAGGGATAGACATAAGTGAGAATAATTATCTTGATGTCAGCATCAATCTTAATGAATTGATTTTGAAGATTGACTTAAACAGAAGCAAAGCATTTTGTCTATGTTTACTTATGATCTAATCTAATGTGTGAAAACATCCAACTGACGAACACTAATTGAGCTAATTTTTCTACCTATAAATAAGCGTCAGTGAGACTCGTAAAAGTCTGAAAAGATAAGGATCCTTGACTAATTTTATTGAGTTTTAAGAAGTTGAACAAGGTATTAACGGACATATTTCGTCATCAAATTTCAATTATATTTTTCATAATCTTTAGAAAATTTTGAAAATTTCTGTCGAAATGAATATTCTTTTCTCGAGATATTGAAGTTTCAAATACCGTTCATATATCATAAAAAAAGTAAAGAAGATCGAATTTTCCTAGAAATTCAATATTTCGAGAAAGTTGCATTCATAATGACCAAAACTTTCGTATTCTACTAAACGTCACTCGATATATATCTAGGAAAGGAATACTTCTATATTACGACAGATCCAACAGTTTGATACCTTCCCTACAACTAATACTACCTGTAACTCTGACCAAAAGACCAGCCTGGCACTGAGTCCCACACTAACTAACCTCAAGAGCAGGTGTATGACACAACGTAGTCAGCATGCTATCGAACGAGTGATACGAGACAGATAGTCATCAATGACTTGTCCAGGATCATTCCATGGCAGATAGTACCGAGACTTGAGCACAAAATCTTATTGATACATGTCGAATAACGTAGCCATAGTAGCTTGATGTATATCCAGATAAATTTTCTGAACGAAACTCGATTCGAACATATGTATTCATAGATAACCTTGGATAGCACGTCCAAATGTCCTTGTTCGAGTCTTATTGAAGTCTACTAATAGACAAAACACATTAGTTCAATCGATATTAGTCAGTTGGAAACTATTATTTATGAAATCATTTCTTACATACATATATATATTTCTTTTCATAGGGTATACTATTTGCTAATGGTGAATGTGTAAAAACAACAAAAGATCTTGTTCGTCTCTATGTTCATGAAGCTGAACGTGTTTATGGTGATAAATTAGTTTCTGGTGATGATATTGATTCATTTCAAAAGATATTTCGTGATACAGTTAAGAAAAATTTTAATGATATTGATGAAGAACATTGTTTTCGTCGTCCATTAATTTATACACATTTTTCAACTGGTATTGGTGATCCAAAATATATGCCTATTGATAATTGGCAACAATTAATAAGACTTTTAACAGATGCATTAGAAAATTATAATGAAGTTAATGCAAATATGAATCTTGTTTTATTTGAAGATGCTATGATGCATGTATGTCGAATAAATCGTATACTTGAATCACCACGTGGTAATGCATTACTTGTTGGTGTTGGTGGTAGTGGAAAACAAAGTTTATCAAGATTAGCTGCATTTGTTTCTGGACAAGAAGTTTTTCAAATAACAATACGTAAAGGATATGGAATTGCTGATTTGAAATTAGTTCGTATTGATTTATTTTTCTAAACATTATTTTGAAAAAAAAAAAAAACATATTTATTTTAGGATTTAAATCATTTATATCTTCGAGCTGGAATTAAAAATATTCCAACAGTATTTTTAATGACTGATGCACAAGTAGCTGATGAAAAATTTCTTGTTTTAATTAATGATATGCTTGCATCAGGTGAAATAAATGGTCTTTTTACAGATGATGAAACAACTGAAATCTTAGCTGCTGTTAAAAATGAAGTACGAGGACAAGGTATTGAAGATACAAAAGAAAATTGTTGGAAATTTTTTATTGATAAAGTACGACGAAATTTAAAGGTATAATTTTATCTGAAAAAAAATTGAAATGATAAATAAAAAAAAGACGTTTTGATTTTTAAGATTGTTTTATGTTTTTCACCGGTTGGTTCAACTTTACGTGTTCGTGCTCGACGATTTCCTGCTTTGGTCAATTGTACAAATATTGATTGGTAAAGATTAGAATTTTATAATAAAAGACAAATGTTCCCAACTTGAAGATTGCTGTTGAGTTTGAACTCTGTACATAAGAAAGATCTCAATGAGGTAATAAAAATTTCGAAAGGATAAGGGCACATAGACCTTCCCTACAGAGTTATAGTTGATTTACAGAAATTTTAATCTATTGCACGGTATCTAAAAACAAATAGAATGACAATATTTTGATCTGGGATTTTGCTCGTAGATTGTAACTAGAATGTCATGCAAAGTTCAACTCGAAAGAATGTTCATTTGACGAGATATTGAATTCTCAAAAATCATTCATATTCCACGAAAGATGCAAGATTCTTATATTTTTTTGGGAATTCAATATCTGGTGAAAGAAAGATTCTTTTGTGTTGAAATCTTCAGGACATTCTAGTTACAATTTACAGACGAAATTTCAGGTCAAAATATCGTCAGTCGATTCTTTTGTACATACCGTGCTAGAGGTAAAAATTTCAGTAAAACGGCTATAACTCTGTAGGGAAAGCCTAGAGGCTCTTATCCTTTTGGGATTTTTATTACTTCATTCAGGTCAGGTCTACATTATGCACAAGATCCGAGCTCACGAACAGTTTTCAAGTTGGGAATATTTCTTCGTTAGTAGATTTTTTAAGAGCCAAAGAGAAAGAACGATTTTGTATAGAGTGCTGAACGTGTATTGTTATATATCTAATTGAAGATATCAAAGCAAGAGAAAATAATTGGATCGTATAGAGTTGCGAGAACCATGGGTGTCCCGAGACTGCCAAAATTGGAGAAGGGTTGAATGTTTTTTTTTTTGAGAATTGGTGAGCAGAACAAATAATAAAACACTGGAGAGAAACGAAAATTTTTCAAGATTGTGGGTGACCTCTTGACCTTCTCACTGCTGGGGATACTCGTGTGTAGTACTGTAATATTTATCAGAATTCGAAATCCACATTTTCTCATTGGAGCAAAAATTCACTAAATTGTAAAACTTCCTGTTTGCTTTTTGAACTGAAAAATAGATCGTATCTATTATTTACTGCTGTACTTATCGACTATAACTTATGTGTAACCTATTAATACAACGAAAAAAAAACGATAAATCTTTATATTTAGGTTTCACGAATGGCCTGAAACTGCTTTAGTTTCTGTTGCAAAACGATTTATTCAAGATGTTGATAGTTTACCAACAGAATATCATGATTCTGTTGCTGAATTTATGGCTTATGTTCATAGTTCTGTCAATGAAATGAGTGTTCAATATTTAACGGTATATTATTTTTTAATATTTGTTTTTCTTAATTGTAAAATTTCATTTTCAGAATGAACGACGATTTAATTATACAACACCAAAATCATTTCTTGAACAAATTGGTCTTTATCGTAATTTATTACAAACAAAACGTCGTGAACATGAAGATGGTATTCTTCGGCTTGAAAATGGTTTAATTAAACTTGAATCGTATGTTAAATGAATTTTTGTTTTCAAATAAATTAAATTTAAAAATTAAAAAAAAAAAATAATTTAATTTCAGTGTTGCCAAACAAACTGATGAACTTAAAGAAAAATTAAAAGTTGAAGAAGTTGAAGTAACAAAAAAGAATGAAGAAGCTGATCGTCTTATTAAAGTTGTTGAAAGTGAAACAAAAAAAGTTACTGAACAACGTGAAGCTGCAGCTATTGAAGAAAAAGAAGTTGCAGAAAAGAAAGAACGTGTTGCTGAACGACAAGCTGAATCTGATCGTGATTTACAAAAAGCATTACCTGCTTTAAAAGCAGCTGAAGAAGCATTAAATACACTTAATCGAAATAATTTAACTGAACTTAAATCATTTGCAACACCACCATCTGCTATTCTTAAAGTTACAGCATCATTACAAATACTCCTTGCACCACCTAGTAAAAAAAATAATCTTTTCGTAAAAATGTTTTCAACATAGATTTTTCTAGATCGTGTTCCACGTGATCGAACATGGCGTGCAGCTAAAATAATGATTGGTGATGTTGGTGTATTTTTAAATACTTTATTAACTTATGATAAAAATCATATTCCAGGTATATATTACATACAGCAATATAAAAGATTTTTTTTTTCACTCATCTCTCCTAAAATTAGTAAATTCAGTGAAACTATGCTGTTTTAGGAATTGCGGAATTTCAGTAATAAGACTTTTGCCATTGGTAGAATTCCGGTCATTCTTATTTTAATGCTTATGAAGAAATGTGTTCGAATGATCAATAGAGTCCGACGGACTCTACTGAACAATTCCTTTCTCATCAAAAGCTAATGAATTGTTGATTATCGATCATGCTGATTCTGAATATCGTTATTCGAAATACTTTTAGGTTTTTATATGCTGGTTTTCTAGGCTAATAAGCATTACGTGAAATTTGTTTTTTTGTCTATTGAAGTTATAGAACATATTGAATTGTTTATAAGAGAATAATTTTTTCTGTTTTATAGAAAGGAGTTTTAAGTACAATAATATTATCTTGAAGATTTTCATATTGAAATGTTGATATGTAAGGTGCTCCAAATGCAAAAATGCAGCAGAAAATTTTTTTTGCTGA